ATTTCTTCCATGTGAATTTGTGATTTTAATGGTGTTTGGGTGGTGGTACGGTGGTTGGAGCGGCTGGTAGTTATTTAAATCTGTGTTGTGTTTCGTGACCGACTGAGATCGCATAATGGACTAATTGTGACCGCATAATGGATTAACTGTGACCTTAAGATTCGACAATTTGTGACTAAATATTATTCTGACCCATGTGTAAAAATATTTTGTAACCCGTGCTGTGATCATTTGAAAATAACCCGTGACTGTGAACAAAATTCTGAGTTGTGACTTGGGCTGCGATGACCTGAGTTGTGACCTAGCCCGTGACTTGTGACCTGGGCTGTGACTTGTGAATTGGACTGTGACTTGAGTTGTGACTTGTGTCCTGAGTCGTCGGAATCGGAGCATTCGTCGGAATGTCCTGAATCTTCAAAATCATAGCAGTAGCCGAAAACCGTCACCGAAATCGGAGCAGTCGCCGAATAGTCCATGGAGCGGTGGGGTGGTGGAGGTGGGGGTGGGTGGGTTATATATATATATATTTATTTATTTATTTGTTTGAAAAGTGAAAGTTATTTTGTTATTTTTGAAATATGGCAAAGATAAAGTAGGAAAAATGAATTTTTCCCTATTAATTACGTCCAATTGTTAAAACCAAAGCCCAAACCGCATTAAAAATTGAATGAAAGTCAGCCAGATCAATAAAATTCAATACTAATCGAATCTCTGTCAATTCAAATTCACCCACAAATTAAGGGAAAATCCGTAAAACCTCGTTTCTTTGATTAATCGTCTCTGTCTCAATCGGCTGAAATGTTGGAGTTGTTATTCACAGTGGCGTTTTCTGCAGTCCCTTTGATTCTTTACATCCGTCCAGTCAGAAGCTTGAATCTATTCGTGGAGACTATAAGGATATGTGGAGACAATCAAGTGTTTATACTAGCCGGATTTATCCTCGTCTAAGATATGCTTGTGGCAGGATTTTAGCATTTGATTCTTACTTTTGTAGTCCCTAGTACTAAGGTGTATCTTGTTACGATGTTCTGTATTTAAATGTCCAAGACAAATGGAGTGTGATTAATCATATTATCAACCTCATGTATAGGAGGAGCTGATCCCTAAAGGTGCCAGCAACATCTTATGATTTGTGTTTGATTCATCTCTGAAATTAAGTGTATAACAAAAAAGTTTGCAATCATGTTTGGAAGCTTCGTGGAACAGATGTTCTTCTTTTCAGTGTACGTGTTTGTTTATTCTGTGTTGTTTTATCATGAACCTGTTGGTTCTCTATGTTTTATTTGGTTATTTGAGATTTGGAGGAAATGAAAATTTGGGTTTCTGATTTTCACCCAAAAAAAAGTGGATTGATTGTGGAATATTTGGATTTAATATAGAATCATGAGAAACTTTTACTCATTTCAATTACTATGCATATCAAGTGTTCGATTAATTGCTTCAAATGCATTTTTGTATTAATTATGCCATGATTTTTGTATGATACATAGAATATACACACATAAACACTCACATGTCATAGAATCTCTCCATTTGCATGAATTGCATGACAATTTAGGCGGAAGCAAATTTAATAATGACAATTTAGGGGGAAGCATATTCAAGCCTACGAACCTCCATATGTCACTTTTTAAAATTGTCACTTTTTTCAGATTTTTGTCATCTTTTAAGTTTTTGTCACTTTTTAAGAAGATAAAAAAAGTAAAATAATATGTTATGTTTTTCTAACATAATCAGCATGTGAATTGGCTTGGATGTACTGATTATTTTAAGAACAAAACTACTCTGTACAAATGGATGGTGATATTTTAGTATTTGTCACTTTTTTTTGAGTGTGAGTCACTTTTTTTTTTTTTTCACTTTTTTTATAAAAAAAAAGTAAAAAAGTGACAATTTTTATATATAAAAGTTTTGAAAAATCATATGAAAGGTTTTTAGGAAGTAAAAAAATACCGAGTAAAATCATATGAAAGGTTTTTTTCATTTTACACGGTATTTTTTTACCTCCTAAAAACCTTTCATATGATTTTTCAAAACATTCATAATTTTAAATGTATTTTTGTAAGTACTATTTTTTTATTTTGTATAGCCTTAGCCCCTGAAGTGATCGAAAATTCACTTCTACATAAGAATTATTTGTTGACAATAATCTCATCTTTGGTACAAGTAGGGTGATTGTTTCGTCTTATTATTATTATCATCATCATCATCATTTTCGAGTTCTTTTCTTTTATTTATTAAATAGCTTATTTCTCGATTTGGATCCATGTTGATCGAAACGAGTTAACATGAATAAAGTTATTTCTCATTCAAAGTTCAGATTATTGACCTTTAATTAAGAGTAGATGTTGAATTTCACAACATTCGACTTACAAAAATATTTTAAGGATAACTCGTCTAAATATAAACAACGTCTTTGCATTTTCACGTCGAAAGAGTAGGGTAACACACACAAAAAGGGTATTGGTAAAAGTGAAAGGATACTAAGCTCATGTTTATTTCAAAACTCTTTTTCTACATCCTTATTTTCAATCACACATTCACACAATAAGGGTGTGTTTGAGCCACATTATTTTGGAAGAATGTATTTTGGAATAGTAGATTGATAGAGAATATGTTGTTGAAAATGAAGGAAAAGTTATTGATGTGATGTAAAATATTATTTTATCAAAAAATGTGTGGTTGAACATGAGTAGAAGAATGAGAATAAAAAAAATGGCCCAAACATGGGCTAAAATATTTTGCATTTAAATTTAAAATTTTCCTTCTTTTTTAACCACACATTTTTAAAAAATCAATATTCAAAACTCTATTTTATCGAAGTAATGATTGTCAAACAAGGGCTAAAGTAGCTGCTTAATTATTTTATCCCCTATTTAGTGCTATTCTCTTAAATTTTTCATGAAGTTAAAATAAGAATCTATGAAAACCAAATTTTAAAAATTTGACTCTTTAAAATATATTGTCCCACTTTTAAAATAAGTTATTAGTGCAAAACGTCCATATGTTTGGAGTTTATTGTGCAAAAGCCCCTTACGTTACATTTTTTTTTTTTTGCATTTTCACTAGTATTTTCACATTTTATTGATAAAATCATTATTTTCATCCAATTTTTTAATAAAAATTTGTGAAATAATGAATATAACCTCTTATTTAAATAAATAAAAATAAAAATAAATAACTAATTAGAATCATACTCCCAAAATTTTAAAAAATATGCAAACAAGTAATAAATAAATTATTTTAAAAAAATTCTTCTTTCTTTCACCTCCTTTTTTCTTCTCCTCCTCCCTTCTCCTCCACCGTCGCCGTCGCCGTCGCCGTTGCTGTCGTCAGCACCACCACCAGTCCACCACCGAAAATATTTTTAAAATTAATAAAATTTTGCGTTGGATGAAGCACAGGCAGGCCACCATGTCGACTGATTTTGTGTTGAGTATTGTGTGAGAAATGAGAATTAGGATTAATGTAATAAAGGGGCATATCTTCAAAGAAGATAGGAGTTTGGATATCTAATTGGCTGATTGAGTTGCCACGTGGATTACAGAATCTCATATGTTGCTTTGCCTTAGAATATCTGAATCTGGTGGTGCACATTCTTCACTCGCAGATCGGAATTAGTTGCTGTGTTTTTTTTTCCTACTGTTATTAATCGAAATTTTGGAGCTTTATGTTGTTGATTTAGTGCATAATAACAATGTAGATTATGAAAATTGAGCTAGTTCTACTGAAACAGCTGAACTTTTACGGTTTCAACCTAAAATTCTTATATTAAAATTGTGATGAAATCATATCAGAGAGAGTAGGTATCATACATCACATAACCTTTCAGGTGAAAGTGTCGGTATTTTTGAATATTGAATCAACCTTTTTACCTTTTTTTTTAACGAGTTAATGCCCATTCCATTTGTGAGTGAACACTCTTATGTATTTTTATTAATTTTATTGGTTTTAAAAATATTTTTGGTGGAGGAGGGGGAGGAAGAAAAACAATAAAAAAGAAAGAGGCTTTTTCTTTTTAAAAAATAATAATAATAATTTATTTGAAATTCGTCGGCACTCTTTTAAAAACTTGAGAGCATGTATGGTTGCAAATTAGTTTTATGTTTTTCTTTTGTTTTAGTTTTAGCCCCTATTTGGTGCACATTTTGGGAGTAANGAAAGGTTTGTTTCAAATTGACAAAGTTAATGTTTAAGTTTAACTCGTATGAGCGTAATTAAACTTAGGGTGTGTTTGATGGATATTATTTTGGAAGAATGTATTTCAGAATAGTTGATTGGTGGAAAATGTGTGGTTGAAAAAGAAGGAAAAGTTATTGATGTGATGGAAAATATTATTTTATTAAAAAACGTGTGGTTGAAAATGAGTAGAAGAATGATAATGAGAATTAGCAAAATTATGTGGATTAAACAGGCTTTAAGTTTTATTTAAATATGATAGTATATTGGTCAATTTACAATTCTTATTGAGAAATTAGATAAAAATGATGATTTTCGCAATGAAAGGTGAAAATGGAAAAAAGAAAAAAAAAGTAGAGACGTCTTACCCAATGAACTCTAAACACAAGGATTTTTGTGCTAATAACCCTTTTAAAATTTTCTTATCTCTTGTTTGATCTCCATTATTTAGAAAATACCTTTTTTCTCTTTTTATTTTTAATCACACATTCTTCAATAAAATAATAATACACTCAAATTCAAAAAATTTCGTTATTTTTTAACCATACATTATTCATCAAAATACTATTTTAAATTATATTTTGGACAAAAAGGGCACTCAAACAAGCTCTTATTCTAGGAACTTAATTCGAATTTTCCATGAATCGCAACTATGCATGAACGTTTTTATCGAAGTCGCAATTCCACTAACATTCCGTAGCGACAATTCACCTGCGATCTATTAGTATATACAAACTAACAGAAGGCACTCAGCGTTACCAGCAGATTCTAGAAACTAGAAAGAGCAAGCTCGAGTTTTCTAGAGAGGGAGAGAGACTCTAATGGCATCGTCGATCTCACGGTGGCTCGTCGACCCGAACCGCAACCCGCTTGCCGCCATCCACAAGAAAACCATCTCCTCGCGCCTCCGCAAATACGGTACTTCTGTTTACATACAAATATCTGTCCATAGGCTATAGCTATAACCAACGTGAGTTCATTTGTAGTGTTATAATACAAATATTTATCTATATCTATATGGATACACTCACAGAAATGTGACCTTTTGTGTTTGAGTGTGTTAATTTGATGGTTTTTGTCTGATTTTTTTGTTGTGTTATACACAAAAAGGGTTGCGCTACGATGACTTGTACGACCCAATGTACGATTTGGATGTGAAGGAGGCGCTGAACCGGCTGCCAAGAGAAATCGTGGACGCGAGGAACCAGCGCCTCAAGCGAGCCTTGGACCTCTCCTTGAAGCATGCGTACCTCCCTGAGGAGCTTCAGGTATTCGCTTATGTACATATAATCCTGCTTCAAATCAATAGTTGATTCACCAATTTCGGTAGCTTCTCTGGTCTTATCGAGCTGTTTTCTGGACTAACCAAGTTGCTAAATGAATTATTAGTTTGAAAGAGAAACCTATTCATTTTAATTCATGTAATTTTATACATGAGACTAACGGTATTGTAACTAGACTATAATTAATGTAAAATGAAGGTCATGGTTGATTATTCATGAATAATTATAATCTTTTACAGTAATCTTAATCAAAGTTAGAGAATACTAGAGGTTTGGTCGCTTGATCAAAGGTCATTAATTATGTTGTGTTAATTTGATTCACCTCATCCTCTTCTAACATATTCTATTTGAATTGCATCACACTAGTGGACGAGAATTAGGACATAACTTTGTTTTAGTTTCTCCTCACCAGGGGACGGATCGAGAACCAAATTTCAAAAAAAAAAATATAAGCCTGGCTAAAAAAAAATAAAAAATAAATATATTACACATGATTTTTATTTTTTTACACTTAAAAAATTGAATGGGCTTTAGCCCAGGCCAGCCCTCTGAATCTGCCAATGCTTCTCGCTAAACAAGAAAAGTTCCTCAAAACACCTGAAACAGTTGCTTACATCGAAATGTACATGTGGCAATTGCATTGTGCTTTAGATATTTCAAAGGGAGAATAGCACAATTAAAGGCGTTCTTATGATATTTCTGCATTTCGTTTCAGAAAGTTATAGCTCATTTCATAGTTCTAAGTAATTAATATGGTCATAGTTTGAAATTATTTTCATAATGTTGGCTGATTTAGTGATCTAGAATGTGGATATGATGTCTTGGGACAATGTGACTGGCGAGGGACTCATTGTAATGAGTTCAAATAATTTTGATAATATAAGTGTGGGAGTATATTCCAGCTTGGATTATTAATGAATTTTTGGAGAATATATTTCCTTGCCAATGGTTGGACTTTGTAGAAGTTCTTAGATGACAGTTGTGGAGTTGGATCAGACATATTGATCACATGCTAATGGGAGGATTTGATTTGATGGTGGTGACTTTTGTCATTTAATGGTGATAGTCTGTTGAACCGGATGGTTGGTGTAGAATGGAATTTTCAGGTCAAGTGATTGTTTCTTCATGAGTTTGTGGGTTATCTGTGGCTCTTTAACTGAGATGTAGATCAGAATGATTTCAAAAGGACCGTGTCTTTATATTTAATTTTTGGGTTGGCCAAATAGTGAGAGATTTATTGAATGTAGACGTAGATGCAAAGATCCTATTGAAGAAGAGTTGAATGATAAGGCAATGATTGAGAATGTAGTTATTAAACCCGGACCAGTTCAGCCTGTCCGGTTGGCAAAACAAATTCAGGTCCTATCTTGATGAAGGAGAAGATTATAGGAAAGACAAAAATTCAAACAAAAAGAATTTCAACGAAGAAAAATTCAAGAAAACTTTATTTCATTCAAAATGGCGTTGCCTCAAAGGGTTTACAACGTTTAAATAGCGAAAAATCTAAGAAAATTCGGAAAAATTACATAATAATGAGAAAATATTATTTTTTCCAAAATGGAAAAAAATTGAGATAATGACTGATATTGATTCTCCTAATCACCAGGATCATCCCCCAACAAATGGAAATTAAATCCGAGTTTATTTGATTAAGATATTGCCAAAATAAAAATTATCATAAACGGCAAAAACGTTTAATTGAAAGCCTAAACGATGGAATCTGCCCAAAATCTGACGTGCTTCAGGGCCAAAGTTGTGATCATTGGCCCGTTTTCCATCAAATTATACTAGCAATTCACCAAAAAGGGACAAACCCAATTAAATGGAATTATTATTTTGCCATCACCATTCTCCCTGGGTTGAAAAAAATTCGCCCTTGAATTTGACGGGGAAGAAATCTCATCATCAGAATTATCACCACAAAATGGAAGCTCGGGCAGCAATCATGGTATGAAAAAAACCCTCTTGAGGCCCGCCTTACTGTGAAGCTGCGCCTCGATGCTCAATCTGTAAGGCAAAAAAATGAGGCGCACGCCTCTACATCTGAGGCAAAAAAAATGAGGCGTGCGCCTCGTTTGAAGTACGTTTTTTCAGGATTTTAAAAAGGAATTAAAAAAGACATCTTTAGAAAAGAGAAGGGCCCATTTAAAAAGATATTTTGGGTCAAACAAAATATTAAAATATCTAGAATACCAAAAGGCAGCCAGAAATCCTTCTACATGGCAGACAGAAATCTTCCTAGATGGCCAGAATTACACGGCAGTCATACACGGTAGTCAGAAATTTTTCCAGAACTAAACGGTAGCCAAACGCAGCCAGAAAACTTATCTTCAATCCATCACTTAAAAGAGGTCCTCAAGTGCTGCTTCTATGTCTATTTTCTCATTTGCTTCTGTCTTCTTCTAGTGACTTACAATTTAAAATTGTTTCACTGGCTTTTTTCTTGTTCAGTGCATCGACGCCAGATTGCACCTATTCTGTTCTGCAAATTACACCTGTTTTGTTTGTGGTGAGGCTTACGCCTTAAAACGTTTTGAGGCTTACGTTTCGCCTCACGACAAAAAAAAGCCTCAGTACCCGTTTACGTTTTTTCAAACTATGGCAAGTCCTCATGAAACTTCTCTAGCAATGGCTGTACTTTATGAGTGACCTCTTGCTCACTGTCAACTGATTTTTGCACCAGCACATACACTACCCCATATCTTTTCATATTTGTCTCGAACTTCACTCTGGTCAGTAAATTGGCGTCGTCCCCAACTGTTTTTACTGAGCCCTTATCTGTAAGCACCACACTTTTCTTTTCCCCAATAGTACATGTCGACTGGAAGAGATTAGTACGCAACCAGTCAATGTTATTTTTCAGGGAAGTTAGAAAACTCTTCCTCACAACCAATGCCTGACTCACATCACGAACCCCAAACTCCTCCTTCTCTGCTGCCTCTTCTACACCTTCACTGTTAAATACAGGCAGACTGTAATAATCAAATTCTTCCTCCTCTATTACTTCTTCAGTGTCTTCATTGTCAAATACATGCGGACCTTCATAATCAAACTCCTACTCCTCTATTGCCTCTTCAATGTCTTCATTGTCAAATACAGGCGGACCTTCATAATCAAACTCCTACTCCTCTGTTGCCTCTTCAATGTCTTCATTGTCAAATACAGGCGGACCTTCATAATCAAACTCTTCCTCCTCTGTTGCTTCTTCAATGTCTTCATTGTCAAATACAACCAGACCGTTATATTCAAACTCTTCATTCTCTATTGTTTCTTCAATGTCTTCAATCGTGACATCCTGAATATTATGATCACGGTGTTGGACTTCCTCAATCGGAACCTGCCCACGACGACCACGACCTCTAGGCAC